ATGAAACTCAATTTGTAGCAAAAAGCCAAAATAAATTAAGAATAATTATCTTAACTCTTAAATGGCCTGTCTGTACTTCCATGTCCTGATGTATATTAGTTAAGTATATTACCTAACACTGTTTTAAAAAGAATAACACTGTTTTAAAAAGAATAAAAAGATGAGGCCGAACGACTTGTGCATACCCAAGATTTACCATAACGACAAGTTGATACCCAAAAGATTTTAAAATAACAAATAGGTACCTTCCGTCATGTTCTGTTAGTGATTTTTGTTTATTAATAGTGAAAAGACTAAAATGCCCTTCAAAGTTTCAATTTTAGTTTTTTATAAATTTAAAAATTTATAAAAAACCCCCTAGGTTTGCTAATTTAATTAAACACCCCCATATATAAAAAGTTTGTTAAATGACAAAAACACCCCCACCACCCCAGTGCCAGATTCCGGCCACCATCGCCGGAATCTGGCCGGAAAACTGCATTACGACACAGATCCCTGTCGGATCTGTGTCGTAATGTGCCGATCTGGCCGGAAAAGGCAAGATCTGGCCGTCGAAGCAGCAGCCAGATCTGGCCTTTTCCGGCCAGATCCGTGGCTGATCTGGCCGGAAAAGGCCATATCTACTGCCAGATCTGGCCTTCGACGCCGCAGATGGAGTTTTGCGGAGTCGACGGCCAGATCTAGCCGTAGATCTGGCCTTTTCCGGCCAGATCAGCCACGGATCTGGCCGGAAAATGCCAGATCGACGCGTTACGACACAGATCCGACAGGTCTGTGTCGTAACGTAACTTTCCGACGAGATTCCGGCGGTGATGGCCGGAATCTGGCACTGCTGGTGGCGGGGGTGTTTTTGTTATTTTATAAAATTTTTATATATTGGGGTATTTAGTTAAATTTGTAAACTTAGGGGGTTTTTTAGAAATTTTTAAATTTATAAAAAACTAAAATTCAAAATTTTAAGGGCATTTTAGTCTTTTCACTATTAATAAATAGAAATCACTAACAGAACATGACAGAAAGTACCTATTTGTCATTTCAAAACCTTTTAGGTACCAACTTGTCGTTACAACAAACCTTGGGTACGTGTAAGTCGTTCTCCCAAAAGATGATGGTAAGACGTATTATTCACATTGTTAGTTGTGAGACCTTACAAAGTAGCCGTGTCACAAGTCTACCAGTCCAATCAATTGGACCGGGGACATCAGCAAAGAAAATACTTTTGAAAATTACAAAATAGTCTATTAAATTTTAGTATATTACAAAATGCCCCTAAAAATTACAAGAGAGTCCCTAAAATTTTAATTTATTTAAGAATACTCAACTAAATTATAAAATTGTCCCCAAAGTTTTGAAACATTGAAAAAACCCCCATAAAACTATGAAATAGTCTCTATAAGTTTGAAATATATCAAAAAAACCCCTAAAACCTGAACTGGATCGGAGAGGTTGTAGGGTCCCAATCAGACCAGCCAGTCCAAGCTGGGTTTTAAAATAGTGATCATTCATACTATTAATTTCCTCTTAATTTGGACACATCTATTATGCATGCTAGCTCTTTAATTCGTTCAAAATTTTGTATTAGAACATTGCTATGCATGTTTGATCTATAGAAGAGCAATATTCAAACTTTGTAAGAAATTATGTCTATCTCTTTTATTAATGTCTATACCTTGAATTTGATATACTTCATTAATTAATTAATTATTAATGAAAGAGTTAACGACTTTTTCCCACCCAAATAACGACTTAATGACATTTTTTCACCTGCAGACTTTTAAAATACTATTTCATTACCTAAATTTATATTCCGACAATGAACAAAAGGCAAACTCCGTCAAGGTTATTGGGGCTTTTGAAGAGGGAACGCCAATGAGTCATTTTTAATTCATTGAAAGATTGCAAATGACTCCTAACAAAAATTTAATTCCGAAATTAAAAAAAAAAAAAAAAGTTTGATTCATAACAAAAATATGATTGATTTATGTCAAAAAAAAACAAATATGATCATTAAAAGTGAAATTGATGAAAACAACAAATCTGATCATTAGAAGAAAGATGCGATGAAAATAATATATCCGATCATTAGAAGGAAAAAACAATGTTAAATATGAGAGATATTAATGAATTAGAGTGAAAGACAAAATTAGTAATTATTATTTTATTTTTTTATATAGATAAATGAGAATTTTGTTAAGTACACCCATTCTTTATAGACTTAAATATAATATTGTTTACTTTTTATCTTATTTATCAATCTAAACTTTGGAATTAAGTAATATTTTAATATTTATAAAAGCACTGTAAGAAATAGATATTTGTATCAGTTTTAAATATATTAAATACCTAATCATTTTAAAATTTATAATATAAATTCTTTTTATTCATAAATAATTTTCGAATTATCTTCACATAAATTTCAGTGGTGAGGTTTAATTTTATGTACATAAAGATTGGTAACCCATATTTATGAAACAATCAATATATGATTATGAGATCCTTTAAGCTCAAAAAAAGAAAATGACTGAGTAATTAATGAATAATGAATTATAAACATTATTAAAATATGAGCTTTGTTCGGATATATTATATTGTGATACTGTAAAACCCGTAAATCACTACAACACTTAATCTCACTTGAATCTAATCAAATTTGCCTAACTTATGAGTACATTATTGAAATATAGGTTTTGTCAAAATGATTATAATGTGATACTGTAAACTCAAACGTAAAACCTATAAATGACCGTAACATTTAATAACACTTAGAATCAAATTAAACTGTACGACTTACCGAGTGAGTATATATGTTAGGAATTAATAGCATTAGAGTTAATTAAAATGTTTTGTTGGGAATTTGTTGGATTACTATAGACTAGGGTTAAGGGAAACTGTTATTTTTCCTAGAAAAGCTGACTTTTTTACTTGTATATTTGGCTTTCCCTTGCTCTTGGACTATTATGCATGTAAGCTAGTGTTATGTTCATAATCATACATATAATTATGCACATTAGGACAGTAATTAAAATTAAATATGCATGTAGAAGGCTAAATAAAACTCAGTTTTTTGCAAAAAGCTAAAATATATTAAGAATAATTATGATGTTTGGATAACTACAGTATAATTAATTATCTTAACTCTTAAGTGGCTTGTTTGTACTTCGATGTCCTGATGTACGCAGAGAATCGTTTTAAAGTCCAACTGTGTATCGTGTTATAGATAAAATTTATATTAGTTTAAGTATACTACCTAACACTGTTTTAAAAAGAATAAAAAGATTTAGGTAATGCGTATTATTCACGTTGTTTTAAAACTCGACCCGTTGTGAGACTCTACAAAGTGACCGTGTCACAAGTCTACTAGTCCAACTAATTGGGCCGGTGATGTCAGCAAAGAAAATAGTTTTAAAAATTACAAAATAGTTTATTAAATTTTAGTATATTACAAAATGCCCCTAAAACTTACAGGTGAGTCCCTAAAATTTTAATTTATTTCAAAATGCTCAACTAAATTATGAAATTGTCCCCAAAGTTTTGAAACATTGAAAAAACCCCTATAAAACTATAAAGTAGTCTCTATAAGTTTGAAATATATCAAAAACCCCTTAAATCCTGAACCGGATCGGAGAGGTTGTCGGGTCCTAGTTGAACCAGTCAGACCAGCTGGTCCAGTCTGGATTTTAAAACAGTGATCATTCATACTATTAATTTCCTCTTAATTTGGGCACATCTATTATGCATGCTCGCTCTTTAATTCGTTCAAAATTTTGTATTAGAACATTGCTATGCATGTTTGATGTATAGAAGAGCAATATTCAAACTTTGTAAGAAATTATGTCTTATCTCTTTTATCAATGTTTATACCTTGGATTTGATACACTCCAATAATTAATTATTAATGTAAGAGTTAACGAGTTTTTCTCACCCAAATAATGGCTTAATAACACTTTCCCACCTACAGACTTTTAAAATATCATTTTATTACCTAAATTTATAATCTGACAATGAACAAAAAACAGACTCGGTCCAGGCTATTGGAGCTTTTAAAGAGGGGAGGCCGATGAGTCTTTTAGTAGTGAAATATTGGATTTTGGTGATTGAAATTGATCGGAATTTGACTTAGAAGGGATGGCTACGCAAACTCTAACTGCTCAATTGTCAGCGTTTGCTAGGGTCAGTGGGAGGTTGTTTTGGTAAGTGATGATCAGAGAAGAGAATGATGATAATATGAGATCGCAACGATGTCGGAATCAGAAACGAAATATGAATTTGGATAGTAAAGTGATATTTTAAGAGTCTCTGAATGGAAAAGTGTCATTAGGCTATTATCTGGATGGAAAAAAGTCGTTTACTCTTAATGTAGTGTATATTTTACTTATATACCACTTGCATTAAGAATAATTAAGTCAAAACAATAATTTTTTGTAATTACATCTCTATTAAATTATAACTTCAATAAAATTAATTCGATATTATCATTATAACTATATAAAGATTTTATTATATTTGGATGGAGATTAAATGAGTAAGTGACCAAACCCCTTTTGGAGAACAAGAGTCAAACCCTCCTTTCAATGTTAGTTAAACTTCTAATTAGATTTTTTACCCTTGTACTTAAATCTACCAATTTGCATATTTACAACACAATTTATCACAATTTGTTTTTTACACAATAAACTTCTTCAATTTCTCTTTCACCAAACAATTTAAGAATCAAGTTAAAACAATTAACGAATAAATTCAACCAAAACCACCGAGCAAAACACCCCATAAACCACCACATTAACAACCCTAAAATTCGACATAATATAAAACCCTAACGCAATAATATTATACGTACGAAGTGATATCCCAAAATTACGACCTTAATTAATATATCATCCTATGTGGCGTTTATGTGAAAATGAAAAAGTTAATTGATCCATCAACGCCACAATCACTTTGGATGAGAAATTCGGACTCTCATTTACAATGTATATCATTACTCTAAAGTCTAAACCATATAAGAATGAAAAATAATTTCTCAAGATATGACCACAAAAGTTTCTTCTATTCTCTATTACATAATTCTCCAAAAAAGGTTTGTAATTTGTAAAATTTACAGGCCTGGATTCCAAAATTAAGCTAGAGGAAATCAAACACGACCCAAAACAATAAAAATGAATATAAAAAGATAGATCAAAGCAAGCAACAAGGAATTGAAGACCAATTAACCCTTTTGATATGCAACATCAGATCTAGTTCCAAACTAGACACGGTGAAGCACCCATTGCAGTATTTTTTTTGAGTTAACTCGGAAAATTAAGATTGAAAGTAAGTGTTGAAACTAGTATCGAACCATATCCTGAAGGCAATCGTAGAAGTGTGAGATCTTAATCTTTTCTTTGCCAGAGAAGATTGCCTCCGCGGATCCGCCGTGCTCTCCTTGAGCGGCCATCTCAATCACCATATACAGCTTCTTGATAGGTATCTAAGAGAAAAAAACAGAGAAAGCAACAATGAGTTCTTTTATTTCCAACTACCGGCAACAGTACTATCATGGCAAAAAGTAAATAATACTGTGTTCAGAATTGGTGATGTAGTTTTTACAGTAACTTAAATATGTTCACATCAGGACTTGGGACACCAAGCTACCTTCAGAATGCAAGGTACAATTCCAGGACAGAAAAGCTAAGATTGTGAGCGGTAAGAACTCCGAGAATGATTAGTGTTGTGATCACGGAAAGTATGATATACAAGCTAACATATTCATCAGAAGAAAAAACAATTGAGGTACCATATTTCTAAAGGCAAAGCGTGTGAATGACAAGCTGCCCACCATTTTCTTTAACAAAAAACAAGGAGGGTATGAATAGACTCAGAGCTTCAAGATGTGTCCTCTTTCTTCTACCATCACAATTTTGTAGTAATCGTTTGATTTCAAACTCAATTTAGTGGACAATTTGTTTTATTTTAAGAACTCAATTACACAGAAATAACTGTAAAAGGCATGCTGGGAGATAAATATATAAAAACTCACATCATTCAGGGCCTCTGCAGCTGTATCAATATCTTCTTGAGCAAAAACGTTGAGTTGTTTTAACACCTGGAGAGAACAAGAAGAGATTAATTGCAAATTAAATGATTTACTTATAAATATTTTCCTGTTTAAGATTATAATGGCTGCATATGAAGTATTATCAAAATATACTCCCAGAATTCAGACTAACTTGTAGACAACAAAAAAGCACTTGGAAAAAGAACATCTCTTTTCCTAGACAAATGGGTATCATTAACGTTATGAAAAACAAAAAAAATACCATCCATACAAGGCCTTTCCTGATATAAGATGCACAAAAAATACAAGATTTCCATGTTTCTTTCTTAAAAGAAAAAGAAAAAAAAAAAAAAAATACTAGATTTCCTATATCAAGGCAGGTCATAAGTGATAGTGAATAGTCAACAGTAAAACATGTGCCAAGACTTGTGTGAACACTTTCATTTATAAAATATTCAACTATGCATGACTTTTTGGGCATCTATAAATTTCAACATATCAGAAACGATTGAATGCACTAAGTTTGAATTTCTCAGCTTGTATGCATGATCATGATAAGATGCAGCAGTTAACAGAACATAAAAGTGCCTTCTGAGGAATGCATTCCAAATTTTACAATGGTTACTTCAGATTCTAAGTTTACCAGAACAACAGAGCATAATAAACCAAGTTTGCAAGTGAATAAGATTCATACAAATACCACGCAGCATTCATAAGCCAGGAATCAACCCAAATCAACAACAGTACGAGAAGCCAGAGTTACAGGGCCTAAACTAATGCCCATGGCTGACTCTCGGTGAAAAGATTACAAAGCAGGCATCTTGAATAAGTTACAGATACCAATATACAAAATAATAAGCTTCATGATTTTCCACGTTGTTAAAAAATTACTAGCATTAATGGAGTAAGTAATTCAGACTGGCCAGAGGAAACAAACTAGGAGATCATGAAAACAAGATGATCCAAAAGAAGATGAGTGACAGTAGCAACTATTACCTTCTTTGCATCATCTGTCTTCAAAGTAGGGACATTGTAAGTGACAGAGAAAGCGTCACAAAGGCCAACTGAATCTAAGAAGCTCACTTCACTTGTTGTCCCTATCACCAAAAGCTTTTTACCCTGAAAACAAAGTTCATACAGAATTTAGCTTGGCCTGAATGATAAAACCAAAACATATGCAAAAGAGACAAAAACCAAAAATAAACCTTTGGTGGAAGCCGTTTGAGGAGGACCAACAGCGTTTGAGAAATTATATTTGAAAAACGAGGTCCAATTGCAACATACTCCAGTAACCTGCAAAAGTAAAACACAGGGTATTTATATATAAGTAGATAGCTAAATGAAGGGAAATGCTTAAGATGACATAACTCAAGACAGTAGGTCATACCTTTCAATGTCATCAAGGATAATAATACTCAAGGGTGACTTGTATGCATCCTCAAAAACCTTTCAAAACATAAAAAATACTATGAAACTTTTCCTTTTTTTCTAATATGACAAATATGATAGCCAAATGAAAATCAATATAGCCCACAGATTAATCACCATTCTCTTCAAGTGTAGCACAAAATAGAAATTCAAGAAAAAAACAAATATTTTCCCTTGCTTTTAAAAAATAAAAAGTGGAAAAAGGAGGGCCAAAAAATAATCATTCACAAACCTTGACAATCTGTGCACATTTGGTGCTCTCATGAAGACCAATCATTGATTCAGCTGAGATCTACCCAATTCAAGGGACGGAAAAAAAAAAAAAATCAGAATCAGGCTGGAAATTCCAGAAGTAAAAGGATGTCATCTACACATATAGGAGAGGAGCTTACTATCTTCACATATGGAAAATCGCTATCAATGCCAACAGTAGCTGCCAAAGCAGATTTACCACTGTCCATGGAAATTATGATTCAGTATAAGCTGGCAGCAATAGAAAAAAGCAACTAAAAAATTGACCATGCATACCTGCCACTTGGGCCTTCCAAAAGACAAGTAACGAGAGGACTTCCTTTGCTCACTTTAACTTGTTCCACTAGTAGTATAGCCCTTTGATAGATGTGCTTATGGCGATTACCACAGTCCACCATGCCATTAAGTCTAGTATCATGTTACATAGAACAATAATAAACAAGATAGAGAGTTAACAAGCATGTTATTCTGCTGAAATCTCAAACAGAAAAAACTAGATTTAATTTAAAGAGCTCTCAAAAATAGAGAAGAGAAAAAGAAAGTGCATCAAGATACAGAATAAATGTTTGGAAATTCTGCAAGCCTCCTTATATTAATCAATCTAATTGTGGCAGACAACTAAACAATAAAGCCAGTTGAAGTGGAATTAGAACTTAGTAAATTATTAAAGACAGCAAGGTAGCCATGAGAGCTAAATTTTATAACATTTAAACAATCAATAGTTGTTTTGGTAAAGCAGATATAAAGACCAATAACTAATGTATTTATAAAATTTCACATTGACATTTAACTATTATAGACATCCTTCATTTCAAATCTTGGCAGCTACTTATCCATTAAAGATGCTTTGGAAATCTTGAAAATAGTCACTAAGAGACTGATAGGAACCCACTCCCAAATTTATAAGAATTGGGTTGGACAGTGGGCCTTTGATAGGAATTGGGCTGGGCAATGGTCATTTTGTGGGCTTGGGTAAAACTCTCCTTGGAAAACCGGCTTGCCAAGGGAGGGTGTCCAAGACCTTTATAACCCACATGCCAATCATTTTCCCTTCCAATGTGGGATCCTAACAACTACCACGTTTTCGCAACCGACATCCACACCGGCCTCTTTACCCCTTGGGTGACTACGTGGATCTCCCTTCCCTTGGGCCTCCATGCCCTTTCTTGGGGTAACAGCCCGGGCCCAAGGTCAGCCTGCCACATAAGCGATGTCTACGTGGGCGTAGGATCATGCTTTGATACCATTTGATAGGAACCCACTCCCAAATTAATAGGAATTGGGTTGGGTTGTGGGCCTTTGATAGGAATTAGGCTGGGCAATGGTCATTTGGTAGGCTTGGGTAGAACTCTCTTTGGAAAACCGGCTTGTCAAAGGAGGATGCCTAAGCCCTTTATAACGCACATGTCTACCCTTTTCCCTTCCAATGTGGGATCCTAACAGAGACAGTTCAAATAGACTTGTATATATGGAGTAGAAATCAAAACCTATGGTCATATGCAAGCATACAAAATTGTAATTCAGATTTCCTAGCAAATTTATTTCTAGCATTCAAATGATGATGCAAATGCAAGCAGAATAGAAACTAAAACGCTTTACGATTGTTGAAAAATTTAACTGTTTGATCTTTAGAAAGAAAAAGAAGACAATTTTCTCTGTTTCTAGCTAAAAGCATTACCTACAGCGCTCAAGGTCATCAGTGGAGGCCCCAAATGCAGGAACAATTTCATGAAGTGCATTAAGAAAGTCATCCATGGTAACTTTGATACTCTCTTCGTCCACTGGCTTGGTAAGGTCATCCATACTAATTTGTCTATTCAAAGCATAGGATACAGCACTTTTCACAACACCTTCAAGCTCTGCACCACTGAAGTTTTTTGTACGAGCAGCTGTACACACAAAAATGATCACAAACATGAATGTGTAAAACTATATAGAGCCTTCTTTTTTTCTTTTGTTTTTTAAAAGGAAAAGAATACAACTAATTCACATACCAAGTTCTTGAAGGTTCACATCAGGAGAAAGAAATGAATTCTCTTTCATCTTGTTCGTATGAATTTGAAGAATCTGCAGGCGGCCATTTTCATCTGGAAGGCTGATCTCAATTTGAACCTCCAACCGACCAGGCCTATAAATTTCAGGAAAAAGAAAAAAAGGGTTTCAAAGATGTATACTAAAGGAATTTGTTAGTGGATAAATGAACACATGAATGCCTTATTTTTTGTCTTCTTCAACCAATAAAACCTTGCATACTTGAATCCCATTTATTTCATATGCTTGTCATAGAACAAATTACAAATCCTTCTCAAAGTCAATCCATGTTCCGTAGTTACTGTAGCTCAGAAGACTATAACGATTATGGTCAAAACACATCAACTTTACTTTTAATTGCCAGTTGTCACTCATGATTTCCATAATATGAGATAATCTAAAGAGGTAAGAGGCAGTTAAATGCCTCAAGGGGCAGAGAGAGATAGAGATAGAGTGAGAGTGAGGAACCTCAAGAGTGCTTCATCCAGCATATCCTTTCTGTTGGTCATTCCAATAAGCAAAACATTATTTAGAGACTCCACACCATCTATCTGCAAAGCAAGTACTTTGTTAGCCATATAACGACATCACTTAGCCTTTGCAATGAAAGAGAAACCCCACAAATGTAAAATGTCAGCAGCCAAAAAAGATTTATATTAATTTTCGAAGAGTCAGAAATTATTTAAACTCCGCACTGACCTTGGTAAGTAGCTGATTGACAATGCTATCATGAACTCCTGTACCATCTCTAGTTGATCCTCTTGACTGAAAATGTCAAAATAAAAGCATGCATCAAGATTATTCTGTTAATAGATAACCTCTCTAATATAAACAAAAAATCTCAAAGCCAATATTAATGTATAAACTTAAGGTTTTATGACAGATCTATTATACCAGCGCTAGGCAGAAATGTAGCTAAAGCCACAAAGTTAATTCTTCAAAGGTCATAGTAAAAAGAAATCAAACTAGAGAATATGTTTCTCATGAAAAAAAATACCCCAATTCACTCAAAAAAAAAAGGAATTCATTATTCCAGTGGTGATATAAAAAATTTAAATTGGTCTGTGATAAAAATTGGCAAAATAAAGGGATCCCACTGCTAGCTAAGACTACGAAATTATATTCTTCAAACATTGACATTGAAAATTAGTAACAAATTGGTAACAAACATTACAATCCATATAAACAAATTTATCTTTATAACAATCACAAAATTACATTATCATATACAGATAAAATTCCTGACTTAAATATCTGAAATAACAATAAATTAAGAAAAGGAAAGATAAATTTGGTCAGGGTAAAAGGGTTCCACTGTTATAGACGCTAGTGACACAATCTAAGTGAACATAAGCACCCTAATAAATTCTTGAACTACATATTGGGAAAAAAAGAATTGTAATGTGTAAGAATAGTAACAACAAATAACAATTGCAGCCAAAATAACAATAACAACTATGCTAGATCCTAAGTCTAACAGATCAGTTCTTGCTTTTATTATCAACAATAATTACTTCAAGAACATGAAAGACATCCAAAAACAAATACTAAACATCAGTTGATCCCCACAATATGTTCAAAAATAAGAAAAAAATGGTTGACTAAATCCCAGTCAAAGCAACATTTAAACGCAATTAATCATTAAGTAAAAGAATAAACATTTAAATGGCACCAGGTTTGCTAGTGCTCATAGGAAGACACTGATACCAACTTTCAATGTACTGGACAAGATAGATAGGTAAAAGTTGCAAATCTCTTACCTTACAAATAGCATCAATTTCATCAAATATTATGACATGCAAATCACTTTGGTCCCCTGAAAAATAAAATGGGAACAAAATCAGCATCATTTAGAAAGACAAGTCTAGAAGTACACAAAGCATGTTAGTTTCCCTTACCACGAGACCTTTGATCATTCTCAGCATCAGCAAAAAGATCCCTAATATTCTTTTCAGTTTCACCAACAAATTTGCTTAGGACTTCAGGACCATTTACAATCTAGTACATCCACAAAAAACATGGGAAAGAAATACAGTCCATCAATTGCTAGAAAAGAATAATCAGTACCTAGCCATAACATATGAGTAACTAGAATTTCATTCCAGATATCACACAATCAATCAACTCTAGAAATTCAAAAGAACATATCTTTCATTAAAAAAATTCACTTAGGATCTAATTAGAAAGTTTCTCATAATTACAAAAGAAAAGCCCATTTACATTCTAATTCTCAAGTTCATTCCAAATTTATTTCTAAATACAATTGTAAACTCATTTACATGCATTGTGAAATATGACGTCAAACATCTCATTTAAACTTAAACACCACAACCGTGTGTTCATACATTTCAAAGGGTTCAAATGGGACAACCCAAAAACCAAACAAAATTAGGTTTAGGAAATATATAAAGCATCATATGTGAAACAGTTTACTTTCACTCAAATTATTAGTAGGTGAACTAAAATATATAATTTACGGGGAAAAAGTAGCAATGAGAAATTCCAACCATAACCAAGAATACTGGCATAAAATCAAAGTGTATTATGCACACATGAGAGCATCTAGTACACCAAAAATAAAGAAATAAACAAACAAAAGTTGTATGACAAAAAATTAGATGATCAACCAGATAGTAATCCTAACACAATAACAACAATGATAGAGCTCAAAGATTTCACTTATTGGCTAGAATGCAGATAAGAACACAAAATTATCGCCACCATTATCACCAGCTAAGGTGTATAAATCATTTCATTAATCTCTGCACATAAATTAAAATAAATAAACAGTATATCCGTGTCCAAACCTTTGGCTCCATTCCATTCAACATTTTTCCAATTTGGCGAGCCATAAGAGTTTTCCCAGTACCGGGAGGCCCATAAAGCAGCATACCCTTTACATGCTTAATACCCAGTCTGGGAAATTAAAAAGCTTTCAATTAGGAGCACAGATACATTGATAACCATATTAGGATTTAAATAAGTTGAAGAATAAGATATATTACTTGCTAGTCACATGAGGAGGAAAAACCCTAGAAGCAAATGCTCTTCGAAAGATATCAGCAAATTCTGCACTTAGGCCACCTATACCCAGTGACTGAAGATTAAACTCCTTATGCCTGAAGATGTTGCTACTGGCAGCCTCTCGTTGGTTGACAATCTGCACAGTACAGCACAAGTTAATGAATGAATCAAGCTACACCAAATTGATCAAATCATAACTTAAATGATCAAACATTTACATTGTCTAAAAATATGAAACATGTAAATAATAGAATACCTTAATTCCACTGGCATTAGATGCTTCAAAGACAATGTAAGTGTCATTGGATATCATCCCTCTTTCAACAGCATTGGATTTTTCTTGACCTTCTATAACTGCTTGATTTACTGTAAAAATGTAATTATTTCCATGATATTCGAATATAACTTTCTGCCCTGCCGTCATAACCTGCAAAGAATTCCTTTAAATCATCTAAAAGACTATATCATACAATAGTATGCTTAGGAGTGCTTTTATTTTTGCTAAAAGTGCTTTCTAATAATCAAATGCAGTGGCTTTATCAAACAACATCCCAAAATATGCTTGAAGTTCTTTTCTAAAAAAGCACTTAAATAGGTGTCTTTCCAAAAGACAGTATTGAATAAGAAAAGCACTTTCATATTCAGAAATGCGGCACTTGTAAATGTCTCATAAAAATCTCACCGCTCACAAGTAATTTCTACAAAAACACTCACAATGGCAACCTAAATTACTTTAGTCGATATGTACAAGTTTACCTGGTTACCAAATCTCTTTCTGAGTTGATTAGCCAAAAGAACAGCATCAACCTAACAATGGAAAAAAAATATACTTCAATTGAAAAAATAATAAAAATAAAAAAAAGAAGTGGCAAAGAAAATAAAGAAAGGAGATTGGTGTGCATACTTGTTCACTTTTAGTACCCTTTTTAACAAATTCCAACTCAACCGATAGCAAAGCAAGATTAAAATCATCCGGTGGGATATATCTGCCTTCTGGTGAGGACCCTTTTTGAAGATCTTTCTCTCATCCATTTCACTACCAAGAAACTCTCTCGATACGAGGTTTTTGTTTAAAAATGGAGATGTATTGAATGCGTAATACATATTTATGATGATCAAGATACAGAGTCCCAGTGACTGAGTCCAAAAATATTGTGAGTGATGGTAACTCAATATAATAAATAATAATATATACTTCATAAAACAGATTGGTAAATATATTTCTTTAATTTAAGAATGTGATGCGTTCTTATTTGTTCTTCTTGCTTTTGGCTGCCTTAACATGGTACATGAATCAAGCAGCTATTTACTAAAATGTATAGTCGTTCCATTTGCGCGGTGGTTTCGTCATCTTTTGCCGATGAACCAATCTTCTACCAAACCAACCGCGATATTCACCGAGACCCTTTCACCATGGCGTCATTAAAACGAAAAGGTTTTTGATATGGTTTTTGGACTTTTATTACTGAAAAAATAGCTGTAAATGTTTCCAAATAGCAGTTTCGTTCTAATATGTGTGTGTCTGTATGATATATATATATATATAGAGTTTACACATTCCATGAAGGAAATATATAAAAAAAAAAACACAAAGTTTACTTTAATTTGTTACATATATATAATACATTAGTCCTTATAATATTATTGTTTCGATTTAGGGTTCACAAGCAACATTGAGTATCTAGTTAGCAGTTTATTAAAGAAAAACTATAAATCGAAAAATCGAAAAATTCTTTACACATGGTTAAATAAAGACGTTATAAATGAATCAAATGCAACAAAAGATTATTATTTAAATAGCTTATTAATTTTAATAAATAGGGTTGTATTAAATATATATATATTTTTGGAGAAAAATAGCTTATTTTTAATTCATTGAAAGATTGCAAATGATTCCTAAAAAAATTAATTCCAAAATTAAAAGAAAAAAGTTTGTCATAACAAGAATATGATTATTTATGTCAAAAAAAAAAAAAAAAAAAAATATGATCCTTAGAGTAAAATTGATGAAAACAACAAATATGTCATTAGAAGAAAGATCGATGAAAATAATATATCCGATCATTAGAAGGAAAAAACAATGTTATGTATGTTGGGAATTAATAGCATTAGAGTTAATTAAAACGTTTTGTTGGTTATTATAGACTTGGGCTAAGGGAAACTGTTATTTTTCTAGAAAAGCCGACTTTTTTACTTGTATATTTGGCTTTCTCTTGCCTTGGACTATTATACATGTAAGCTAGTGTTATGTTCATAATCATACATATAATTAGCATATTAGGACAGTAATTAAAATTAAATATGCATGTAGAAGGCTAAATGAAACTCAATTTGTAGCAAAAAGCTAAAATATATTAAGAATAATATGATGTTTGGATAAACTACAATATAATAATTATCTTAACTCTTAAGTGGCCTGCTGTACTTCCATGTCCTGATGTATGCTGATAATCGTTTTAAAGTCCAATTGTGTACCATGTTATAGATAAAAATTTATATTAGTTTATGTATATTACCTAACACTGTTTTTAAAAAGAATAAAAAGATGATGGTAATACCTATTTTCACATTGTTTTAAAACTCGACCTGTTGTGAGACCCTAAAAGTAGTCGTGTCACAAGTCTACCAGTCAGTCAATTGGACCGGTGACGTTAGCAAAGAAAATGATTTAAAAAAGTACAAAATAGTCTATTAAATTTTAGTATTACAAAATGCCTAAAATTTTTAATTTAGTTCAAAATGGTCAACTAAATTATAAAATTGTCCCCAAAGTTTGAAACATTGAAAAAACCCTATAAAACTATAGTGTCTCTATAGTTTGGAATATATCAAAACCCCACTAGAACCTGAACCGGATCGAGAGGTTGTCGGGTCCTAGTGAACCAATCGGATCAGCTAGTCTAGTTTGGGTTTTAAAATAGTGATCATTCATACTATTAAATTATGAATTTGAGTAGAGAATGGCATGAATAGAGGGATAGAGTGGCTGGGTTTCTACTCTTGAACTCTTATATATATAATATAGTTTTTCATTTTGCCCTTGCACTTCTATTAAAATTTTATCTATGTCCCTTAGTCAAATACAATAATGCTCTCCATTTTATTAAATTCTCCATGAAATTCTATCTCTTTTAACTTCCCAATTTTTTCAACTAATTTGAGTGAAAAGACCATTTTACCCTTAATGAAAGTTTAAGGGATTTTCTTCACACTTTTTCTCAAAATAATTTAACAAAATTAACTAGGGCCAACCAAAAAAAAACAAATGCAAGCTCAAAGAGAAACAAATCAATAAACATTCAATAAATATAATAATATTTAACTACATACCTCAAGTGGGGGGGTTACATATATAATGTAAAAGTCAAAAGAGATATTGAAAAAATTAATAGCAGTATACCTCAAGTGGGGCGTATATATATATATATATATGTAAAAGTCAAAAGAGATATTGTGAAATATTAATAGCAGTGTAGGACAAAAACCTAAGTTTAAGCTTTTAGATTTGCTTAATTTTTTTCCCATGTTGTTTGGTTAAAAGATTGATTTTTTTTTTAAATTTTTTTAAGATTTGATAATAGGTATAAAAATATAAAATTAAATATGTGGTTTATTTAGGCTCAGATGTCCTATGTGTAACAAACATGAAATTCCATGTTCAAAAAGTTTAGTAATTTTCAGTCCACCCAAAAACCAATTGCTTGAATGTTTATTTATTTATTTTAATCATCAGGGGTGTCTGGTTAACTTATAGCATCCCAACTAATCTTCAAGATTTTAAAATTACTAGTCGGGTAAGAACCTTCATGGCCACCCCTATTACTAGACATGGTAAATGGGCTGGTCAGGCAGGTATGAGTCGAGTAAAAACGGAGCAAGTCAACCAGGTCGAGAATAGAAACAGGTAAAGAAATTGGAAACGCATACCTGATCCTGCGGGTAGGGTGGACCCGCGAGTCACCCTTTCCAAATCTTTTTTTTCCCCTTTTTTATTTTATTTTTAATTTTAATTTTATTAAGAGGTGATTGTGATTGTTGGTATGTGAAATAGCATGTAATTTATTCTTAAATTATCTCAAAGGGTAAAGTAGTGGAGGTTTGAGTAATACTACAAATACAATATTTCTCATACAACCTGATATGAAAAAAGATGATTAGGTGAAAGTTTATTTTTATTTAAAATCAATAATTATATTTTCTTATACAAGTTATATGTGAAATTGTGTATAAAAATATAATACGTGTAATATTATATACGGAGGTTTATGTTATAAAAGAGGAGGGAGTTGTGGTAACTGGAAAAGAAACATAGCAAACGATAGATCGACTTGACCAGGGCTTAATATAAACACTAATCCAGAGTCTACACCCTTGCCAGAAGAAACCCCCGAAAGCATCAGAAAACGACTTATTGAAGCATCGCAACTACATATATAGATATATTGCAAAGAGATGCAGCTCAATCAAATACAAAAGATTTTTAGATAGTAAAGTAGCTTTGAGCCAAAGATCAAAGCGATACAAAAGCAAAATTAGAACAACATATTACTACAATTTACGTGACTCTTGACGCTGAAGAAATAGTAGTAATTTCACACAACTTGGCTGACTCTTCCATCGTTTTTGCTACCTCTTGCTTAATCAAAGCATTTGTTTCAGAACTCAAAAGTAAACGTCACTAACGGGCCTGGTCTCTCCTCCTCAACTTTGTTTAAGTCCAGCAACCGTCTTAGAATCATATGTTTTAGTAGAAGAATCATTCTTTGAGGAGGTTTTGAGGAAGATGAGGGCTACGTCCACAGGGTTTTCTTGGTTTCTTTTTCCAACTGAAACGCCTTCTTTTGCAGGAGGCTTTGAGGAAGATGAAGAGCTACGTACATGGATTTCTTGATCTCTTCTCCAACTGAACCGCCCTTTTGCAGGAGGTTTTGAGGAAGAAGAAGAGCTACGTCCACTGGATTCTGATCTCTTCTCCAACTAACCGCCTCCTTTTACAGGAGGTTTTGAGGAAGATGAAGAGCTACGTCCACAGGATTTCTTGATTTCTTCCCAACAGAAACGCCTCCTAATGTAGGAGGTTTTGAGGAAGATGAAGAGCTACGTCCACTGGATTTCTTGATCTCTTCTCCAACTGAACCGCCTCCTAATGCGGGAGGTGTTGAGGAAGATGAAGAGCTACGTTCACAGGGTTCTTGATTTCTTCTCTAACTGAAACGCCTCCTGGCGAGGCCCTTTTTGAGGATTTCTTCTCTCATCCATTTCAACTCACCAAGAAACTCTCTCAATACGAGGATTTTGTTTGAATGCATAATACAATTTTTGATGATCAAGATACAGAGTACCAGTGATTGAGTCCAAAAATATTGTGACTCATGGTAACTCATATAATAAATAATAAATATATACTATTCATAAAATAGATTGGTAAATATATTTCTATAATTTAAGAATGTGATGCGTTCTTATTTGTCTTCTTGCTTTTGCCTTTAACATGGTACATGGATTCAACAGCTCTTTACTAAAATGTACATGTCGTTCCATTTGCGTGGCTGGTTTCGTCATTTTTTGCCAATGACTCCACTCTTTCTACCAAACCAACCGAATATTCCACCGAACCCCTTTCAAAAGTCGTCATTAAACCAGAACAAGGTTTCTGATATGGTTTTTGGACTTCCATACTGAAAAATAGCTGTATAATGGTTTCCAATAGACAGTTTCGTTTAATAATGTGTGTGTCTGTATATATATAGAGGAGAGAGGAGTTTACACATTCCTTGAAGGAAATATTAAAAAAATAACACAAAGTTTACTTTAATTTGTACAATATATAATAACATCTTAGTCCTTATAATATTTATTGTCCGATTTAGGGTTCACAAGCAACATTGAGTATCTAGTTAGCAGTTTATTAAAGAAAAACTATAATGAAATAAATCGAAAAATTCTTAACACAATGGTTAAATAAAGACGTTATAATATGAAT